GCAAAAGAGACCAAAGGCAAAGGAAAGTGTTTCGACAGAGGTAGAGATGGCTACAACAAATCGAATGGTAGAGGAAACCAGATTGAAGGAAACGTGTCGAATCAAATAAGACTATACCAAGGCAACCAAAGAGGTGGTGTTGCAAATAGAGGAAGAGGTGGTGGTCGAAAACCTGATAAGAGTCACATTCAATGTTACAATTTTCAGAAGTATGGTCACTATTCGAGTGATTGTCCAGAAAAACAAAAGAATCAAGAAAGTGATGCAAAGCTTGCAAAACATGAAGAAGAAGAAGAAGAAGAAGAGATGATGTTGATGGTCGCAACAAGAGATGAAGATAGATTCAAGGACCAATGGTACTTAGATTCAGGATGTTCATCACATATGTCTGGAAGGAAAGACTGGTTCGTCAATATAAAGCCCTCAATGAAAAATATGGTAAAATTTGCAAATGACAATACCCTAGCAGCTGAAGGTATTGGTGATGTTATGATTATGAGGAAAGATGGCAAAAGGTCAGTAATCTCCAATGTGTTGTACATACCATGCATGAAGAGAAATTTGCTCAGTATAGGGCAGTTGGTCGAAAAGAATTATAAAGTGTCAATCGAAGATAAGATGATGAGAGTCGTTGATGCAAATGGGAGATTAATCTTGGAGGCTCCTATGTCTCAGAACCGAACCTTCAAGATTGAACTAAATGTGATGGAGCACAAGTGCCTTTCGAATGCAGCTAGCAAAGATGAATGGATATGGAATTATAGACTAAGCCATCTCAACTTCAGAGACATCAGATATTTGAAGAGAAGAAATATGGTTTCAGGATTTCCAGAAATTGACATTCCAAATGAAGTATGTGAGGAATGTGTGCAGGCGAAGCAACACAAGAATAGCTTCAGCAAGGATGCAGGAAGCAGATCGAAGGTTAGTCTTGAAGTCATATACTCTGATGTATATGGACCAATCCAGGTGGATTCGATGGGAGGTAACAAATACTTTGTTATATTCATAGATGATTTCAGTCGAAAGCTATGAACTTACCTGATCAAGAAGAAAAGTGAGTGATCGAAGTATTTACCAAGTTTAAGTCTATGGTCCAAAGACAAAGTGGTCGAAAGCTCAATGTTTTGAGAACTGATGGTGGTAGAGAATATGTGTCTAAAGACTTCGACAGATTATGTGAAAAGGAAGGGATTGTGCATGAGGTGGTGCCACCCTATACTCCACAACAAAATGGAATTGCAGAAAGGAAAAATCCAACCATCATGAATATGGTGAGAAGTATGTTGAAAGGCAAGAAATTGCCTAAAGAGTTTTGGGGTGAAGTTGTTTCGAATGCAACATACATTTTGAACAGATGTCCTACAAAGAAGCTAGAAGGAATTACTCCAGAAGAATGTTGGTCTGGTGTGGAGCCTAGCTTGAGTCATCTGAAGGTATTTGGATCTATTGCACATAGACATGTGCCAGATCAGTTGAGAAGAAAACATGATGATAAGTCGAGTCAAATGATTCTTGTTGGATATCATTCGGCAGGAGGCTATAAGTTGTTCGATCCAGTGAAAAAACAGATTGTGATCAGCAGGGACGTGATCATAGGTGAGTTTAAAGAATGGGATTGGACTGAAAATATCAAGAAAGATTCAGTGGGAATCCTTCTTAAAGAGCCAGAAACTCAAGTCGAAAGAAAAATTCGACAAGAGGAACCAGCAGATATACCAAGTACAAGCAGACCTCAAAGAACAAGACGCGTGCCTGCAAGATTACAAGATTGTGTGATTACATCAGATTATGTAATAGATAATGAAGGTGAGCTGGTACATTATGCTTTCTATGCAAATGTCGAATCCGTTAATGCAGCTGAAGCATTAAAGGATTCGAAGTGGGTGAAAGCAATGAACAAAGAAGTAAAGTCTATCGAAGACAACAACACTTGGTCACTTGTCGAATTGCCTCAAGGCAAGAAGGCAATTGATGTCAAGTGGGTATACAAAGTGAAAACGAATTCGAAAGATGAAGTAACTTGACACAAAGCAAGACTTGTGGCGAAAGGATTTCTACAGAAAGAAGGAATAGACTTCGATGATGTTTTTGCACCTGTTGCTAGGATCAAAACAACTAGGTTGGTTGTTGGTCTAGCAGAAATAAACAGTTGGCACATATGTCAGATGGACGTGAAGTGTGCATTCCTAAATGGATCTTTAGATGAAGAAGTCTATGTTAAACAACCAGTTGGGTTTGTGAAACACGACGAAGAAAGAAAGGTGTACAGGCTACATAAAGCCCTGTATGGATTGAAACAAGCTCCAAGGGCTTGGAATAAGAAAATTGATAGTTTTCTAAGGGAGAAGGAATTTGTGAAATGAACAATTGAACATGGAGTATATGTAAGAAGAAGAAAGAGTAAATTGCTTATATTATGTCTTTATGTAGATGATTTGTTGATAACAGGTAGCTGTAAAAGTGAGATCGAAGACTTCAAAGGTGATCTCAGCAAGGAATTCAAAATGTCTGATTTGGGTGAGATTTCATATTTTCTTGGTATCGAATTCTACAAGAGCAGTAGAGATTTGATGATGCATCAAAGAAGATATGCAGGAGAAATTCTCAAGAGGTTTGAGATGGAAGAATGCAACTCAACTTTGACACCTACAGAACCAAGACTGCAATTGTCGAAAGATGCAGATGAAGATGATGTTGATCCAACCTAATACAGAAGACTTATTGGATCATTGAGATACCTTTATCATTAAAGGCCTGACTTAGCATATAGTGTAGGTATGGTAAGTAGATTCATGCAGAAGCCAAAGGTATCACATCTAGCAGCAGTGAAGAGGATACTAAGGTATCTCAAAGGAACTTTCAATTATGGCATTTTGTTTCCTGCAGTTAATAAAGGAAAATAATACAAGTTAGTGGGATACACTGATTCAAGTTGGTGTAGTGATGCTGAAGATCGAAAGTCAACAACATGATATGTGTTTATGCTAGGTGGTGCACCAGTTGCTTGGAATTCAAGAAAGGAACCAGTAGTGGCATTATCATCATGCGAAGCAGAATACATAGCTGCTTCTCTTTGTGCATGTCAAGCAACTTGGATGGTGAACTTGGTCGAAGAGATAACAGGAAAAAATCACGGAGCAATTACCATGAACATAGACAACATGTCAGCTATTAATCTGGCGAAGAATCCAATAGCACATGGTCGAAGTAAGCACATCAAAATGAGGTTCCATTATCTTCGAGAACAGGTAGCAGATGGGAAGATGAATTTGGAACACTGCAGAACTGAGAATCAGATTGCAGACATCATGACGAAGGGAGTGCAAGTCGAAGTATTCAGAAAGCTAAGAGTCATGATGAACATAGATAGTTTAGACACAATGAATTAGGTGGTGTGTTAAATTGTAATCCAATGTGTCGAAACTATGTGTCGAAAAGATTTGATTTGTTTTTAGATTTAAATAGATTTGATTTAGTAACAAAAAAATATTTTGGACTTTGGGCTTAGGGTCTAAGCTCAGTTATAAATAGAGGGAGTAACCCCTATTTTTGTAAGCAAGTCAAGCAAGTCATTCACAGTATTTTGCAGTTGGAAAGTGAATAAGAAAGTTTTCACAGTTTGTGAGCAGAGAGAAACTCTGCAGAAATTATTTGTCTTGTCTTCTTTTCTTTGTTTGTCTCATAATTAAATTGTCATTGTGGTAGAAATTCATCATAGACTTTGATGGATTTCCAACACATACCACTTAAGCAAGTTAGATTGATTTTGAACACTTATCTAAATTTGTCAAAAAAATAGACCCGAAATGCATCTCCATAAATTTTTAAGGATAATTTTGTAGATACACATATGAAATAATTCCAAAAAACATTTGAGAGTTATCAACATTTGGCAGCAAGTGTCCCAATTTAATATTTTTCTAGATCATTTAAACTAAGGATTATGCTAATTATACTAATATAATTCAAACATATCATATATAAATCAAATCCAAACATTAATCAATTAATCAAAAACGATGCTACATACATAGTTTGTTTAGAAAATACAATTGTTACATAAACCCAAATAAAAATAAATTATTACATATTTGTAATCCCCTACTTCTCCTTTGCCGCCTGTATTTCAAGAGATTTCATGTCTAGAGTAAGATGGAGACAGCCATACCAGGACAAAGTATCTATTTTGTATGCATGTCTAAAAGAAGTACATATTAATTATAAACTGTTGCATTTTAAATAACTTATTTTACCTAATACTTATTTTACCTAATACATGTATCACAACTTAAAAATAAAAATAAAATGAGAAACTTTTCTGTTGAAAATGGTTGAGCTTGAATTGATGAATGAAATCTATTGAAAATAATTGCAATATGCTAGTATTGAAACTTGAAAATTTTGAATTTTGCTGAGAGCTAATAGGGAATGGGTGTTGCAGAGAACATATTTGCACGCGCTCATCTTTCTTAGATCTATGGTGTTTCTTTACAGTTTTCTTATTTGTCTTTTATGCTGTAGTAGCTCACTTTTAAGGTTTTTTTTTTTTGTCTTAACGGTGGTAACTTCTTTTTTATTAATTTAAATAAAAACCGAAAAACACAATCTTCTTTTTCAAAACCATAGGAGGTCAAACTAAAATTGAAGAACATTGTAAAATAAAAATCACAAGTAATAACTTATATCCTATAATCTTTATATGGTCTATAACTAGACGCCTAAAAGACTAGAAATAGTACAAACTGAGGTAAAAATCAAAGAAAAACTGTTTAAAAAAAAGTACACCCATTACATAAAACTCCAACTCAGTCCCATCATTTTAACAGTCATTCCACACAACCTTAATAATAAGTTAAAAAACAAAAAAGAAAAAAAAAAATTTGAGGATATTTTTTAGTCTACTATAAATCCTCGTGGCAGTTCAAAGAGCGGCAGTCACACGTTAACACGTTACGTGTCGAGTTGCATCGATCAAAACAACATGATCGAATCTCTTTCTATAACGGTTCTATTTGAGTCACAACAATGGGGCTCCGAACAACGTGTTTACCATCCGTCCACGTAAGCGACCCGAAAACCGCTCCAGAAGGATCCAGTTTCAGATTTCGTGTATCCGCCGTTACCGTCACCACATAACTCCTCTTCTTCACAGCCTCTGAAAACACGAGCCGTGACGGCTTCACCGTCACCGTAACCCCCTTAATCTGTGACTCCACACTCACGTGGTAAACTGAGTTCACCGCTCCCACATTAGTAACAGTCCTTATAAACATCTTGGAAGCTAATTTTTTTGAAGCCACCGGAAACATAGCCACGAACGACGGGTAATTCAGATTCTCCGGCAAAGGCTTCTTCGCGGGACAATTCTCTGGCACGCGAGTAATTACCTGAATAACCTTTGGTTCGTAACCAATAGCGCAGAGGAAGTTAACGTAATCAGTGTTTGTAATATCGTAGATCAATCCAGGATCCATAGCATTACCCAAATTGAGATGACCCGAGCCGAAATCATAAGGTGTGGAATTATTCCCTGTAGCCTCATCCAACATAGGGAGGTTCCGGTTATCCAAAACAGAAGCGGTGGTCATCATGGCGGATCTCACGGCGGCGGGACTCCAATCTGGATGAGCAGATTTCAGCAACGCGGCAGCGCCACTCACATGAGGTGCAGCCATTGATGTTCCAGACAGAATATTGAACTCGGTTCTACGGGTGTCAGAATCAAGACCAGTTGGACCCACAGCGTCAGACCAAGCGGCAAGGATGTTAACTCCTGGAGCTATCAAATCCGGTTTGAGTAACTGAGGGTTCAAACCGTTGGGTCCTCTTGCTGAGAAAGAAGCGAGAACCGGAGCCGGTTTGATTCCGAGGATAGTCCCTTTGAAATCAATCGTAGCAGTTGGGTTCGACGATGAAGTGATATAGGCTTTGATTATATCTCCTTCGTTGGAACCAACAGCACAAGCAGGAAGAAGATGAGCATCTCCAACGAGTCCTTCGCCGTTTGAGATTCCGTTTGCGAGGATCATTCCAACGCCACCGGCTTTCTTCACAACAAGCCCTTTTGCTACTCTAGGGCTACTCCCTCTATCACACACTACAATTCTCCCTGTTACTTGTTTCGGATCCAGTGAATTTTCCATGCAGAGTGAATCACCTAGAATCCCTGATTTTCCAGGGTAAACTAGTTGATACATTTTACCGTTCAAAGCTTCTCCGGAGTATAGTGACACACCGGAGAATTTTCTCCCGTCGCCCATGGTAATCTGCGCTGGAAAATCACGATCGATGGTGCCTGCTCCCACTGTGGTCAACCATGGTGCAAGGTTGGTTACTGACATTCCACTTGGACCATCGTTTCCTGCGGAGGATGAAACGAATACGCCTCTGGAAACGGCGCCGTAAGATCCGATTGCTATTGGGTCGAGATAGTAAGGTGAGGCTATACCGTCTCCGCCACCGATTGATATGGAAATTACATCAACACCGTCAGTGACTGCTGCGTCGAAGGCAGCGAGGATATCAGAATCAAAGCAACCGGAATTCTTCCAGCAAACTTTGTAAACCGCTAATCTTGCTTTCGGAGCAACACCTTTGGCGATTCCAGAAGCGTAACCGGACATGTTTGCTTGGAAAGCATAACGACCAGCGGCTGTGGAGGCTGTGTGGGTTCCATGACCGTCGGCGTCACGAGGAGATCGAAACTCAACGGTTTCATTGATGGGGTTCAAAGGACCGGAAAAACCAGAACCTGCTTCATGACCTTTGGAGAAGAATCTAGCACCGATGAGTTTTTTGTTGCAGTTTCTGGGTGAGAATTTTTCACCAGATTCACAAACCCCTTTCCACCGCCGTGGAATAGGACCCAAGTTCACATCAGAGAAGCTCCGTCTCTCAGGCCAAATGCCAGTGTCAAAGACTCCAACAATAACATCAGAACCATAATCAGATTCAGACCATAAACCTCGCTGGTTACGAAGACCCAGAAACTGGGGTGAACGAGTTGTATGTAACTGTCTACGACGATCCTCAAAAACCGCAAGGATCGAAGGGTGGTTCCCTACGGAAGCAGCTTGCTGTCTTGTGAGCACAGCAGAGAAACCATGGAAAACAGTGTCGTAAACATGAAGGATATGGGTTTGTTCAGTGAATTCAGCGGTGTACCAGTGATAATGGGTTGGGAAAATTGAGGGTTTGGAGTAAGAATTAACGCGGAAGATGAAGGTTTTGGGAAGTTCATTTTCTGCAGAAAGAACGTGTGAAAAGATGAAAAGGAAGAAGATGGAGAAAACAAGTGGGGGAGAAATGGAAGTGAGAGTTTCGCCCATTTTAGAAACAGTGATGAGTGAGTGAGTGTGTGGTTAGTGAGTGTGGAGACAGTGTTATAATAACGTCCATAAACTGGTGTAGTAGAAAAGAATATTTTCTTTTTCTTTTAAAAGAAAATTCGAAAGAGATAAGAGGAAAAACTAGAATACTACTGTTTTATGTAATTGATTGTGTTAACTTAGTTTAAATATTCGTATCTAGTAGTACCATTGTCAAGTGTGGATGTTTATTGTCGGCACTTAAGTCTAATGAGTCACCCCCAATATCTGCTAGATTGCAAAAGAATTATTTTGCGCCGCTTTATTTTAAAATGGAAAATTTTAAACTATTATGGGTGGTCGCTTATTATTTAAATAAATATAGGAGTCTAATTTTAGGAAGAAAACAAGATATAATTTTTTACGTTTATGAGCATTTGTATATTTATAAGAAAAACTTAACAACTTGTTGGCATAAAAGTTTGAACTTATTTAGTAACAAAATCGTTTGTACGCATAAGTTATGGTATGAGTATATTGTATTTGTAAAGTTAAAAAAGTTTCATCAAAATACGATATTATAAAAAAGTTGATTTTAAAGTTGTTATGTGATCGTTCGTTCGAATCAAGACGTTTTATAATGTGTCAAATTTTAATGTTGATAATAGCGGCGAAGTTCTCGAATTAAATGATGGTGTGAATGATTTCAAATTTGAGTTAGATGAATATTTTAAGTGGGAAAATGTGATAGGTTTCTGAAGTGCTTCGAGCAAAAATATTTTAGTAAAAAATGTTATTTAGTTTATCAATAGTTTTAAACATAATATATATATATATATATATATATATATATATATATATATATATATATATATATATATATATATATATATATATATATATATATATATATATATATATATATATATATATATATATATATATATATATATATATATATATATATATATATATATATATATATATATATATATATATATATATATATTCATGTTATTTGATGCAATATTTGCTAAGATTTGTGTCTAAGAAAATGTTGTACGTGAATCAAACTGCGATAAAACCGTTCGATGAAGACAATAGAGATAAGTATTATGGAGAAATTCACATAGCCATCTGAAACAATATGAAGAAGTATATCTGAAAGGAATAGTATGAGTATGCTAAGTAAAAGAAGTTCAGAGGAGGAGATATTCTTCTATTTACCATTTGATATCCTTCAGAGCGGCTCTATGTGTCTTTGTTTAATCGTTGATGGTAGTTCAACAAAATATATTTTTGGGATTTCAGTTGAATTTGTAGTTGTGTTTCCAGTGATTTCTGGTAAACAACCGCTAGTCTTCCAAACTATCGAATAAACTTACTGACTGTTATTCAATTTCTCTGGTAACTCACAGGATCGACTAGATTGATCCTAGGATTCCTTGGTCATTAGGGTAACTCTCATGATCGAACAGATATTCATGGTTGGTATTTGAGTGTTGTGTAGGTGTTTGACTTATTTCGATTTCTCCCTTACAGATCTAAAGGTGTAATCAAAATGTATGTGCGCGAAACTAACTTGCATGAATAAATGTTAATTGTAAAGACATGTAAAATTGCATAAAAGGCAAGTAAATGGCTTCGAATTATAAAAACAGTTAATGTAAAAGATGCTCTGGAACGTAAAAGATTCGAAATATGAAGAAAGCGTTTAATGCAAGAAATCTGTAAATGACTTTAAGTAAAAATAGGCTTTCGAAAGACAAAACTTGAAGATAAAGGCATGAAAAGTATGACAGTTTTCTGAAATGTAAAGTGTTTGAAATGTAAAGAAAGCATTAAAATGTAAGGCTTCAATGAAAAGATTTCGAAATAAAAAGACTTTAAATGAGAAAACTTGTAAATGGTATTTGACAGAAAGATAAAGGAAAGTGCTGGAAATGATAAAAGGTTTTCATTAAAACATAAACATGTGGTGCTATCATACGTACATTGCTCTTGCATTCGTTTCCCTAGCCATGTGGTAATTTGAATGTTTACCGAGTATTTAGTACAATAGATATGACACACGAAATCCTAATACTAAGACTTCTATTTATACTAATTCGACCATAACGGTCTTGCTATAAGATTATGCCACGTTCAGAACATGCAGAACAATGCCTCTCTCTTGTTTCCACGTGTCTCCAAATGCTCCAGCACATAAATTTCAAACTTCGAATGTCCCGCTTGCATTTGAATTTCAAATGTTTTGGTACTTCTCCGCTTCGAACGCACTTCTCAGACACAGCCTGGTTGTCGTTTCGAGACTTCTTTAGATATGTTCCCATAATTGCCACTCGAAGCTCCAAGCTTTGATATGCTCATTCGAAATACTGCTTCTGCTACTTCGAAACATGACGCTTTGTTTCATTTCGATCGAAACGTTCAATTCACTTGGCTTCTAATAATATTATCAAAATCTTCAGCCAACAAGTTGTTGGTTGGAGTTTTTTATTGTTGTTTGTACTCAATATTTTGTTTAATTAGCAAGTACCCCCTGTCTCATAATAAGTGTCTCATTTGAGTTATGCACGGTTCTTAAGAAAATGATTAGATGTGTTAATTTTAATGATAAAATTAGTATCATTTACTAAAATACCCTTATTTATTATAGTTAGTAGAGTAGTTGAAAAACGTAAAAGTTAATAAATAGGAATATAGTAGTAGAAAAAATAATAAATGTTGTATTGGTATTCTAATCAGATATTTATTTTGAGACATGGAAAAAATGCAAATGAGACACTTATTATTGTTGGAAATCCATCAAATATCTATGATGAATTTCTACCATTCTTGATGAACAAGATTGATATCACCACACAATGAAAATGAATTATGAGAAAAGAAATGAAAAGAAAGAAGATAATTATTTTCTGCAGAGTTTCTCTGTGCCCACAAACTGTGGAAACCTTATTATTCACTTGCAACTGCAAATTCTATAAATACAACTTAATTGACTTAATTACAAAATTAGGGATTACTCCCTCTATTTATAAATTTAGGTTAGTTTGCTCCTAAGTCAAAGCCCAAAACTATAAAAACCCAAAATACCTATTTTGGTACTAAATCAAATCTATCTATTTTAGATCTAAATCAAATCTACCTAAATCTAAAACCAATCAAATCTGTGTGTAGCTTGCTTCGATTCATAAGCTCTTTGATTGAGAAACTTCCCTTCGACACAATTGAATTACAATTTGATACACCATCTAATTCGTTGTGTCTAAACTATCTATATTCATCATGGTTCTTAGTCTTCTGAATACTTCGACCTGCACTCCCTTCGTCATGATGTCTGTAATCTGATTCTCAGTTCTGCAGTGTTCCAAATTCATCTTCCCGTCTGCTACCAACTCTCGAAGATAGTGGAACCTCATTTCGATGTGCTTGCTTTGACTATGTGCTATCGGGTTCTTCTCCAGATTGATAGTTGACATGTTGTCGATCTTAATGGTTAGTGCTCTATGATCTTTCCCTGTTATCTCTTCGACCAAGTTCACCATCCAAATTGCTTGACATGCACAAAGAGAAGCAGCCATGTATTCTACTTCACATGATGATAATGTCACTACTGGTTCCTTTCTTGAACTCCAAGCAACTGGTGCACCACCTAACACAAACACATATCCTGCTGTTGATTTTCGATCTTCAGCATCACTACACCCACTCGAATCAGTGTATCCCACTAACTTGCATTCTTTTCCTTTATCAGTTACGGGAAACAAAATGCCATAGTCATGAGTTCCTTTAAGATACCTTAGTATCCTCTTCACCGCTGCTAGATGTGATACCTTTAGCTTCTGCATGAATCTACTTACCATACCTACAATATATGTTAAGTCAGACCTTGTATGACAAAGGTATCTCAATGACCCAATAAGTCTTTTGTATTGGATTGGGTCGACATCATCTTCATCTGTATCTTTTGACAGTTGAAGTTTTGGTTCTACAGGTGTCGAAGTTGAGTTGTATTCTTCCATCTCAAATCTCTTGAGAATTTCTCCTGCATATCTTCTTTGATGCATCATCAAATCTCTAATGCTCTTGTAGAATTCAATACCAAGGAAATATAAAATCTTACCCAGATCGGACATTTCGAATTCCTTGCTGAGATTACCTTTGAAGTCTTCGATCTCACTTTTGCAGCTACCTGTTATCAACAAATCATCGACATAGAGACATAGTATAAGCAATTCACTATTGCTTCTTCTTACATATACTCTATGTTCAGTTGTGCACTTCACAAATTCCCTCTCCCTTAGTAAACTATCAATTTTCTTATTTCGAGCTCTTGGAGCTTGTTTCAATCCATACATGGATTTATGCATCCTGTACACCTTTCTCTCTTTGTCATGTTTCACAAACCCAACTGGTTGTTTAACATAAAATTCTTCGTCTAAGGATCCATTCAGGAATGCACACTTCACGTCCATCTGACAGATGTGCCATCTGTTTATTTCTGTTAGACCAACAACTAACCTGATTATTTCGATCCTAGCAACAAATGCAAAAACTCCATCAAAGTCTATTCCTTCTTTTTGTAGAAATCCTTTCGCCACAAGCCTTGCTTTGTGTCGAGTTACTTCCCCTTTGGGATTCATCTTTACTTTGTATACCCACTTGACATCAATTTCCTTCTTTCCTTGAGGAAATTCGACAAGTGACCAAGTGTTGTTGTCTTTGATAGACTTCACTTCTTCGTTCATTGCTTTCACCCACGTCTAATCCTTCAATGCTTCAGCTGCATTGACAGGTTCGACATCTGCATAGAAAGCATAATGTACTAACTCACCTTCATTATTTATCACATCATCTGATGTAATCACATAATCTTGCAATCTTGCAGGCATGCGTCTTGTTATTTAAGGTCTACTTGTAATTGGTTGATCTATAACTGTTGGTTCCTCTTGTCGAACTTCTCTTTCGACTTGAGTTTCTGGTTCTTCAAGTAGGATTTCCACTGAATCTTTCTTGAC